CCGGGGTGGGCGGGGGACATCTGCTACAAGGAGACTGTGCCTTGGGAGCAATTCTGTTTTATTTTATTTTTTCACTCCTTTTCTAATCTTCAAGGAGAAAAACCAAATCTGTGCCCGTCCTGAGGAGGAGCAACTTGGAAGGGAGTTAGAAATAAAGAGATGGGTAATCAAACCCCCTCAGGGTCCCCGGGCAGGGGCAGGCCGCAGCCGCTGCTCCTGCCAGGGCCCTTTCCTGTCAGAAAGACTTGACTCTGAGGCGGCCAAGCTGCTAGAGGTTCCATGCATGACCCAGCCTGGAAGACTCCAGCTGGTTGTGTGAATTGGGGGAGGTTTCTCTGCTCCTTCCAAATCAGCTCCTGTCATCACAGTGTGATTTATGAGCTTTTCCTCTAAAATATGAGAACATTGGCTCCTGATGGAGTCCTGGAATGGAGGAAGGCAGTGGCTGCAGCATTTCTAATAAATATTATCTCTTCAGACCACCATCTTGTTACAAAAAAGATGCAAGAGGTTGAATACAGATGGATTAAGGCTTTTTTTTTTTTTAAACAACATGAACTCAGTCTAGTGAGGTATCAGGAGGGTTATTGTTCCCATCTGAAGGCTCTGGGCTTGATTTCTTGCTTGATTGCCATACAGCAGATGTCAAGTCCAGAGGCTACTTACCTCTGAGCCTCCACGTCTTCATCTATGGGGATGCTGTGCAGATTATGTGAGGTAAATATCTGAAGAACTCGGCACCAGGCCTGGAGAGATGATGTGCCCCAGAAGTGCTAGGGATTATGAGTCTCAAATAGTGAATGGTATAAAAGTAATTGGGAAAATATTTGGGAAGTATTTTTATAATTGTGTTGATACAGTAGGTCTTGCACTTGGAATGACAGCGTCTGAATTTAATTCAACAAGTAGGCCATGTCATAGACATACCTATATAACTTATTACAGTTTCTAGAACAAAATGTGACCTTGGACAAGTGTCTGATCTTGGTTTACACAGAGCCTTGGTTTCTTCATCTGTACAAACAGATAATAACAACATCCACATCTTGTGTGTGCTGTGTGTGAGTTTGATATGTGTTGTGTGTGGTGTGTGTTATATGATGTGTGCGGTTAGTGGTGTGTAAATGTGAGTGTATGTGATGTGTATGGGTGAATGTGTGGTGTGTGTGGTATGTGTGTGGTGTGTGGGGTGTATTTGGGGTATGTGAGTGTGTGTGGTAGTATGAGTCGGTGTGAGGTATGATGTGTGTGTGTGTGAGTGAGTGTGTGTGTTTGTGTTGGGAGTGACTGTCATAATCACAACATTTAATGTCTTTGCATAAAAGCACTTGGTAAAGGTAAAGAGTGATTTGCTCTACAGATACTTATATCCTGATGACCTGTATGTGCTGGGAGAATCCAGCCTTAGAGTTTAAATTTCATATGTGGAGCTAAGGCAGATAAGACACACATACATAAAAGAATTAAAAAACAGCAGGAGGTGATCTGAGAGTAACTGTAAGCTCCACGAGAGTTCAGAGGAGGGTCACAAAGGCCGAGCAGTGCAGACTTCCTGGGAGGAGCAGTGCTTGCCATGGGCTCTGAAGCAGTAGTTTTTGTTTTAAACCTTTTTTGCCTGCTTACCCTCTAAATGAACTTTGGGAGAAAAAAGTCTCTTTTGCCTCACACATTTTAACTTGACATCTGAAATGTTTCATTATAAGTTTAAGTAGTTACAAAGGATATAATTTCTGCTATATTGTAAATATTGACCTTGTAGAATAAAATTACACTGCTCTTTCAAATGTATCAAATGCAAACTAACAGCAATTTTTAATTTTGCCTTTTTATTGAAGTACCACTTATATACAGTAGAATGCACAGACCTTAAGCATGTAGCTTAATTAATTTTTACCAGGGTACTGACCACCCAGATGGAGGGGGAGTATATATCCAGCATTCCAGAAGACGCCTTGGGCCCCCTCTCAGTCAATATCCCTCCAAAGGTGACCATTTCTCTGACCTCTGTCATCACGGAGTCATGATATATACCACCATAAACTAATTTTGCATGGTTTCCTTTGTCCTCGCTTCTTTGAATCAACATACAGTCTGTAAGATTCAAGTGTGCTTCTGCAGGTAGCAGTAGTTCATTTTTCATTGTTGTATAGTATTCCATTGATTGATTATTTCACGTTAAAAAAATTATCTACTCTTAATGGAAATTTTGGGTTGTTTCTAGCATTTGGCTATAAAGCTACTATGGAGTTTTCTTCTCTCTCTGTATTTTGAGAACATACATATTGATTTCTTTTGGGTATTTATCCATGAGTATAATTGACAGGTCATACGATAAATACCATAATACAAAGTCTGTCCAGACAGTATCCAGCTGTGTAATATGAAAAATAGAGACATTTATTGAAGAAGATACAACATACAAGAAATATTGTACATAGGACAATGACACTTCAGTCCCCTTCAAAGTAGGCACCTTGGGACCTCACACAGTTCTCCCAGTCGCCATCAGCTGCCCTGTTGTATTTTCCTGAATCGCCTTGATGGCCTGAAATCTCTTCCCTTTCAAAGGTGGTTTTATTTTTTGGAAAAGCCAAAAGTCACGGGGCACCAAATGTGGGCTGTAGGAGGGCGGAGTCACCTGGGCGATTTGATGTTTTGCCAAAAATCTCTGGATGAGATGTGATACATGAGCAGGCATGTTGTCCTGATGAAGTTGCCCATATCTGTGGCCTTCAGAATCCTCTGAATAGTTTCCATGGATGAATGTTCAAGCTTAACACAAAATTTGATGCAGATCTATTGCTCTACATGCTCAGTCATTTTGAATGCAACAGCCACACAGTACACATGCTAACTCTATGGTGTCTACTGCGCCCACTGACTAGTACAGTGAAGTCATCATTGTTCACACATGCGCTTTCCAGTCTACTCTCCTTGGCTACCAGCTTACATTGATGTTGTGTGAACTAGTCTTGTATATTAACAATGGCTTGACTTTTTCCAGACAGACCTCATACATTGGTATCTGCCACCATTCTTCAAAAATTACCTGCACAAGGCAGAAATTTTACATTGTTTCTTTCTTTACCTTCTTGAACTCAATAATTCCCTTCTACTTCCTTAACAGAATTTTATCTTATATTTTTATTCTTGAAAAACCTTTTATTGATTACTCTGTCATATTTCTTTTTACTATATATATATATATATATATATATATGAATGGAAATGGATGTTTAAAAAATGTCCTTTGACCATAAAACTCTAACTATCTCTTGGATTGGTTTATCGCACAACTTATCAAAATAATATAAATATTTTATAATTTGATAAAGACCAAACATAAAACGATAATATGGGAGATACTTCCCATAATGAGGTGGATAGGGTGGTTGATGGCAGTGCTTCTCATACATTAGGTGTGAAGACCATTTGAGAATCCTGATAAAATGTAGATTCTGATTCAGATGGTCTGGGTTGGAGCCTGAGAGTCTGCGTTTCTAATAAACCTACCAGCAATGCCAATGCTGTTGGTCCACGCATCACATTTTGAGTAGCAAGGGTTGATGGTCCCTAGATTAAAGGAAGATTGGCTAACACCAACATTCTCCATTGTCCACTCTTTTTGGTACCCAAATATCTTGACACTTAAGGACACTGAACCATAGTCAGATTCTGGATGAGGGAGAAGCTAGTCTTTCTTCTGCAAAGAGACAGAAGGATTGCTGTGAAGAAGAAGGTGGGGAAAGAGAGGGTCATGCCATCTAGACTAAGATATTCTCAGGCAGAGCAGGAGAGTGGGAATGGAAACGGGATCTCCAGCTAATAAAATTTCCTGCCTGTCTACCTCCTTGAGGAGTCTTCAGGCACCCCAGTACAGGGCTGCCCCCTTTGAAGACCACTTCCCTAAAGGATGCTAAGATAGTGCCGACCACCATTTCAGATGGGGTGCCCATTAGTGCCGGTGGGTTAGGCATTTCAAGGACTGGTTTGGATGGTCTTATAGTGAATTGGGGGTAAATCCTGAGAAGGTAAGTTTGGGGCTGGTGGTAGATGGCCTTGAATTCCATGCTAGGCAGTTGGACTTAACACTCAGGCAGAGGAGCCTCGGGATGATTTGAGCAGGACGGTGGTACGAGCAGAGTGCCTTGGGGAGACTGACTTGTTGAGCAGCTTGTGGGATGGCTGGGAAAGAGTTAATGCAATGACAACACAATGGGTTTGATAATAGGTCAGCTGTGGTTATTGGGATTTGCTGGCTGTGACTTTTATCTCCACCACCCACTCACCCCCAGCTTTTGAACTTTTGTCCTGGTTGCACAGACCTGGTTTGCTCCATCAGTATTTCCTGAAGTGTGGGCCACATTCCTCTCGTGGTACCTGAGATGTTTATGCATGGAGCTCAAGATAATGCAGAGTGGAACATGGCCTGGCTGTAAATAACACTGAGACCCGGGCATGAATGGCATCCCCTCTCAGCCCTTTCTCAGTCCGGACAACATCTTTCTTTAACTCTGCTCACATTCCCATTTCCCTTCTGTTGATTAGACAGCAAGCAGTTTAGGCTTATGGCATTTAATAAGCAATAGTCTCTACAGAGAATTTTACAAAATTTTTGTTTTCATTGAATTAATTGTCTGCGTACCAGGATAGCAAGTGGTCCTACTTTCCCCCTTGTTGTAATGACATAACACTGTACATTTCAAATAAGTTCACCTCAGTAAGAAAAGTGAGTCAGTTTACTAGATGATACAGAAGAAATAATGCTGGCGGCACGTGGATATGGCAGAAATTGGCGAAGAGATATGCAGTGGGTCAATTTTGGGAAACATTGGGTTAGACCACGGGGCCAAAACTGGCAAGTGCCAGATCCTTGCGCCGGGGACTGGAGAGGCTCTGGGTGGTGGTGGGAGGGAGGCACTGGGTCAGCTGGGCGGGTCTCACTGCTGTCCCCACCGAGAGCCTGACCTCCTGTTCCTTGTCTTTGCCGCTGCCTGCAGAGATCCGCACACAGCTGGTGGAGCAGTTCAAATGCTTGGAGCAGCAATCCGAGTCTCGGCTGCAGCTGCTGCAGGACCTCCAGGAGTTCTTCCGCCGGAAAGCTGAGATTGAGCTTGAGTACTCTCGCAGCCTGGAGAAGCTGGCCGAGCGGTTCTCCTCCAAGATCCGCAGCTCCCGGGAGCACCAGTTCAAGTGAGAAGGGGCCAGGGGTCTGGGCCATGGGCGGCAGTATGGGGATGGGCGGGCGGTTCACGGCAAAGTTGAAAGGAGGCAAGGATTTATTGGCTGCTCCTGAGGCCCTGGGTCTGCGGGACACTTCACCTCCAAGCCTCAATCTTCCTTAGTAGAAAGTGAAGATACAAATAGCTTCTCCATACAAAGGTGCTATAGGGAACAAATGAGTAACCAGAGAAAACAGTAACTGCACAATAAATTGTTGCTGTCATTCTTATCCTACCAGGCACTGTGCTGGCCAGCCTCCATTTATGCCAGGATGACACCCCACCTCTTTTCAGGGCATCTCAGTCCAATCTAGTTCTCTTGTATTCGGGGTCAGCCAGCCCCCTTCCAAATTCCTTCAGCACAACGACCTCAGAATTTTCCCTCCATGGAACTGATGTGCAGAGCATTCCTCTTCCTCGCTCCCCTGGCGGTCCTGCGCTGGGGCTCTTTCCCTGCCTCATTATTTATTTGCGACACAAACTCTCTGTGTGCTAATTTCTCACACCCCAAGTTCGGAGTTCCTGGAGGCACCGCCCTCTCGGGTATGTGGATACTCAGAGAAGCTACGAAACCCTCTATGCTCACAACTCTCCTAAGTGTAGGCAGGAGCTCCGGCCTCTCTGGGACGCAGTCACACCGCTGGGCGGCACCACTGTGCAGCTCTTCTCCTCCGCCGCGCTCCTCCCGATGTTTCCCCCTCCCAGTACATCTTTCCAGTAAATGGCCCCCAACCCCGGGACCCCAGAGACTTGCTTCAACCCACCTGACCTGATCCTTTTTCGTCGGTGTCCAATTTCTTTCCTCCCTTTCAACATATTTTTAAATTATGGTAAATACACATAATATAAAATGTAAAGTCTTAACATGTTGAAGTGTACAGTTCAGAGATATTACACACATTCACAGTGTCACGCAGTCATCGGCACCATCCATCTCCAGAACTTTTTTCATCTTCCCAAACTGAAACACTGTGCCCATTAAAAAAACGAATTCCCCCCGCCCCTGGCAACCGCCATTCTGCTTTCTGTCTCTATGTATCTGACTAATCTAGGGACCTCCCATAAGTGGAATCACACCATATTCGTCCTTTTTGACTGGGTTGGCTTATTTCTCTTAGCATAATATCCTCAAGGTTCATCCATATTATAGCATGTAACATATTTCCTTCCTTTTAAAGGCTGAATACTATTCCATTTATGTACAGACCACATTTTGTTTATTCATTCATCTATCGATGGCCACTTGGGTTGCTTCCACCTTCCTTTGTAACTTTGCATTCTTCTCTGGCCAGGGAGCATGCTTCCTTTAAACTCCCTGGAACATCTTCTACGTCCGGACCTCGGGCGTTTGAACATTCACTTTGTGTCTTCTTCTCTTGACACTTGGGAATAAGAAATCGCTTTATTAAAGGGCAAAAATTCATTACTCCGTTGCAAATACCATGCTTGTTTTTCTACCCAGCTTGTTTATCTCTTTAAACTTTCACTGCAGAAGGAATCTCCCATTAATAACGTCCTCCCAGGCCCTTCTTCGGTTCTTCCACATACATAATCTTATTTTTATGATATATTTTTGGAGAAATTTTGTGGGTTTTTTTTTTTCAAGTACTGAAAGGAAAATGCTCACTGTATATACTTCAGAAAGTACAGAAAAGTAGGAGAAAAAAGATCTCACGGTCCCATTGCTTAGAAGCAACTGCTGTTGATATATTGGTGCCTTTTCTCACCTGCCTTTTAATAATAACAGCAACAGTATGAGGGTGTTAACTGAGTACTTACTTTGTGCCAGGTGGATATTACTACCCCATCTTAAAGATGAAGACAGTGAAATTCTGAGAAAGCAGGTTGTCTGAACACATCTGTGAACCAGTCACTGGAGGCAGATTTGAACTATCACTCTGGTTTGCCTCCTCGGCCTGAGATAAGCAGGGGTCTGGATGCGGCCCATGGAATCTGAACGTTCCCCTAAAACCACAGATGCAGACACATGCTCAGAAACCCGAGTCTCAGGCTGAGCTGTCACTGGAGCCATCCAGGGCTGTGTGGTTGGGCTGGAGCATCAGCTCCTGCCCTGCGCCTTATTCTTGGTTTGGAATCAGCTCCCTTCCCAATCTCAGCGTGAAAATGGAAGAGATGGAAAAGGCGGGGTCCCCTGTTCCCTTGCATTGCCTGTAATGAGCTCAGCCAGCCCTCATGGGTTCATTAACCAAAGCCACCAGACGGAACAGGAGCCCCAGCTGGCAGTCGGGCCTAGCAGGCTGCTTGACACAGTATGAAAGTCTAATTAGGGAGTGGGCCAGGCCAGTCCAGCTGGTGTGGGCCCTCTGCACGATGCTAATGTGACGGCAGAGCCCCCAGTGGCTTTTGGAAGCAGGAGTCTCTAGGGGATGTCTGGACTTGCCCTTTGACCCCAGGGCCAACCAGCACTGACCCTTGGCTGCCTCTTCTTTGGAGTTCAGCTCACAGGATCTCCACCCTGGCTGTGCAGAGAAGCTGTGTCCTGCAGTCTTACAGATATTTCATTTGAGAGTATCGGTCTGTTTTCTAGGTAGCCTCTTAGGGCCTTGAGGGCAGGGTACAGGGTCTCGTCGTTATATTCCCACTGCAATCAGCCCAGTGCTGGGCAGCGATGGAGTGTTTGCCAATGAGTGGGAGAACGGGAGGGAGGGGATTTACTCAGGCTATAAAGTTCACTCTGGCTGAAGGATTTGGTTCAGAGAGGAAACTGATTTGTTTAAGATCTCACAGTAAATTAGTGGTAGAACCAGGAGGGGAAACATCTTAGTTTATTTGGCTGCTGTAACAAAGCACCATAGACTGGGTAGCTTATAAACAGAAATCTGTTTCTCACAGTTCTGGAGGTTAGAAGTCTGTGATCAGGGTGCCAGCATGGTCAGGCTCTGGTGAGAGCCCTTTTTCAGCTTGTAGAGGGCTAATTCTCCTTGTGTTCTGATGTGGCAGAGAGCAGAGAGAGGAAGCAATCTCTAGTGACTCTTATAAGGGCACTGATCCCATTCATGGGGTCTCCACCTCATGACTTCAACCAGTCCTAATTATCTGCCAGAAGCCCCACCTCCTAATACAATCAGTTTGGGGGTACAGTTTTAACACGACTTTTGGGGGGACACACATTCAGTCCATAACAAGTGTATCTCCTTTTGCTATGGATGGGCCCCAGCTGCTCCCTACACACCTAGACAATAAAAAAATTTACAGTTTCCCAGGAGGTACTGTGTCCAGGGGATAGACTTACCAGGTCTGAGTTCCATGTGGCACAGGATTCAAAGAAAGCCTCAAATGATGGCTCTGAGGGCTTACCTGGGGCAGGTTGAATATTGAGAGAACAATACCATCACATGTTTCTTTTCTATCATTACATATTTCTGTTCTAATCATACCCTTTTCAAAGTACTCTGCCATCTTTGCTCTCTTGTAATCCTTATGATAAGCCAGGGACATAGAGAAGAGCCAGTGGTTTTATCTCAAGTCAACTGAGCACCAGACAAGCCGAGTGGCTTATTTTACAAAGAACCCACAGCAAGATGTTGAGTGGGAAAGCCCAGGGTTCCTGAATTCCAGCTCGGGCTCCTGTCTCCAGGAAGCCATGTCAGTTTTTTGTTTATTTGAAATGCATATCATGAGGCCCTCTTATTTTCTTGGACTGCCCTCTGTGCTGAAGACACAAAGATTAACAAGACACAGTCCCTGCTCTTAGATATTCTCTTTCAAGAGATGGAGCCATGTGGCTTGGGAGATGCCCGTGGTTGGTATGGTTGGGGCAGGCACCCAATCCCTATGGCTCTGCTCTTTGATCCCTGCACGCACTTGCTGTCCAAGTCATGGTTTGGATGTCACGTTCTCTGGAAAGCTATCTTGAGTCTGACCTGGTGCTTCCTCTATGTGCCCATAATATTTTATGCCTATTGATTTGCTTAGTTATCTAATATTCACTGAACCCCTGCCAAGCCTTGGTTTACAGTGGTGAACAAGATAGACTTGTTTCCTGCCATGGCAGAATTTAGCATCTGGGTGGAGAAGAGAAGTGAAGAAACAAACATAAAAAAGAAAAAAGAGAAGAGAAGAGAAAAAATATGTACCATCAAATGATTACCAGGATGGAACTAAATATGATATGCTGTGTTCTGGTTATCTGTCCTAGGTAACAGTTCTCCCAAAACCTAATGCATCTCATGATTTAGTGGGTTAGGAATTTGGACAGGGCTCGGCTGGTTGATTATTCTTCTTTATGTGGCATCAACTGGGATCACTTGGCGATAGTCAGCTGGTGGCTGGGCTGGAAGGTCCAAGATGGCTTCACCCATATACTTTCTGCTTTGGTGGGGATGGCTGGAAGGCTGTGCTCAGCTGAGCTGCCTCTTTCTGCAGGTGGTGGTGCCTGAGCTTCTCTGTCTGGTGTTGGGGCCAGATGTTGGACTTCAGACATGGTATCTCAGGGCTCTGAGAGAGCAGTGGGGACGCTGCAGCCCTCTTCAAGGAGAGGCCTGGAATGGGCATAGCATCACTGTCAGTCCTGACTCAGGGTCAAGGGGACAGGAACTAGCTGGAGGACTGTCAAATGACTCGCACCCCTCTTTAATCTTCCACACTGAGCTGGAGTGGCAGTCAGGGAAGGCTTCTGGAGGCAGTGGTATTTAAGCAGAGACCTGAGGGATGAGAAAGAATAGCCATGGGACAGTGTGAGGCAGAGAGGCCAGTGGGGCTGGAAATGGTGGTGAGAGCAGAGTGGGAAATCACTGAGGCATCATAAGTAGGGAGTAGCATGATGGACTCAAGAAGGAACACACCAAGACACGTCATCCTTAAATCACTTAAGATTAAAGATAAGGAGAGAATCTTAAAAGCAGCAAGAGAAAAGGAGACAGTTACCTACAAAGGAGTTCCCATGAGACTATCAGCTGATTTCTCAGAAGAAACCTTATAGGCAAGAAAGGGCTGGAAAGAAGTACTCCA